CGCCAACGCGTTAAAATTGCTGAATGGTCTAGCATCGACCTTCCCATTACATACGGGGTCCCCCAGGGCAGTATCCTAGGTCCTACCCTATTTCTTATTTATATAAACGACTTGTGTCTTCTGAAAATACCTAATGCATCCATTTTTTCATATGCTGATGATACTGCCCTGCTATTTCATGGTGACTCGTGGGAGTCGGTTTATCTGCATGCACAGGTGGTTTCGACCTTGTCACCAATTGGTTGACCCACAACCTGCTCACTTTAAATTCAGATAAAACGAAATATCTTACCTTTTCCCTTTCAGAGGCCGGCAAGTCCCGTTTACCCTCCCTTCCATTAATAGCACACTCTTGCAAATTACATCACAGGTCAATCTGTAACTGTCCCCGTATCTCTCGTGTCGACTGCATTAGATATCTGGGTGTACTTATTGACGATTGCCTGTCTTTTCGTGCTCACATAGACGCGCTTACCTCTCGAGTCCGGAGGCTAATTTATGTATTCAAGTCTCTCCGTCATGCTGCCGATACTAATACTATGCGGCTTGTGTATTTGGCTCTTGGTCAATCAATTATGGAATACTGCATAATTGCCTGGGGCGGATCTGCTAAAACACATCTTTTAAAACTAGAACGTGCACAACGTGCACTCCTGAAAGTGGGCTGGAAGCTACCTTTCCGTTTTCCAACCACAGATCTTTATAAAATTTGTAATGTTCTCTCTATACGAAAATTGTTCATTTCGAATATTCTTTTGACTACTCACTCCCAAATTAGTTACGATCCGACCATGTTTGACGGTAAACGGCGTAAGCATAGTGTTTGTCCTCCTTTTTCGACTAATTGTCGATCAGCACAACGCAGTTTCCCTTTTCTTAGCGGCTACATATACAACAAGGCAAACAATATACTTAACATATATCCTCTGTGTAAATCTAAATGTAAAAAAACGGTCAGGAACTGGCTTCTTGACATGGACTATGATAGCACTGAAGAATTACTGCACGTTTTATCTTAAATCTCGCATAGGTACATTGTTGGGTACTTCGTCGTTGTCGGCTTTCGGTAATGTCTACATATTCTTCACAGCACACCAACTTACATACACAAACACACAACTTCAGATACACTCACACTAAAGACATGAACACTCACACACTGTACATTCATTTTCACAATTGACAAAACATTCTCATCATCCATTCTCATATAATCCACTCTGGTTTGGTGTTGGTCTACCCTCAGACCACGGAATTTGTTTCTTTTTATTGCTTGTATTCTATTGCATTATAATTACCTACTATATTATTGTGACATCGGGTGTGAACCTGGAGATCTGTCATACAGGTCTTGAACCCAGTATAGACTCCAGCTCTCACAAAGGTTGAACCTATTGTAACTTAAATAGTGATATAATGTTTCTATGTATGTACCTTTTTGAGAGAAATAAATTCCTTTATTATTATTATGTATGTCCTTACCATTCACGGGACCACAGGGTCCCGGTCATTTGGGAGGCGTACGAGGGGCCGAAGCCAACTGCGCAGAGGCCCTTTAGACAACATTAATCTAACTGTAATGGACACACAAACCGGCGACTACCCCTGTATGCACTATGGAAATGCACCCAAGGACAGTCCCCGGTTAGTGTAGGACTATTGTGAATAATGGAAAAAAAAGGTAGGGCTATTGGATGGGTTGCTGTGGACTGGTAAATTGGGAACTATGGATGACTATGACACCTGCCGAAACAATGTAATTATTACACGTAAAAATGGCAGGCGGAGACTCGCCAACTCACCGACCGGGCCCCGGAAATGGTTGCTAGATATAGCAACAGAGGGGCAACGAGAATGTGAGTGGCTGAAGGGTTAAGAAACTACCACCGCTTTCTACTCAGATCATCTGCTCCAGCCGAAGCCTCCTGCATCCCTGGCCCACTCGCGACTTACGAATAGTTTCTTACCCTCCGAGCAGGTTCACTGCTCTCGCGACTCCACTCTGGACGGCCAATGAAGGCAAGCCAGAGGTGGGAGACCTGTTCCTTGTCATCGTTCACTCCAGCCAGCCAATTAAGGCAAGCCGGAGAAGAAGGAACGGTGACTTCTCCCTGGAGCACTCGGGATGATGGTAGCCCGCGGGATATTATTATCTAACATTTGCGTAGTGATTGGGTCATCGGCTAGAGTCGTGGTTCCAATTGAAAGGGCATGAAAACAATTCTTTGAACGATTTAGAAATTGTTGTTCCGAGATAAATAGTCATGTTTCTTTTTCTCTTCTTTTTTTAATAAAAAATAAATTGCCCACATTAGGATTTTCTCCTGTGTCGTGGGTGCGTTTACAAACATACAAGTTCACATACACATGACACCCAGACTGATAGATGTCTAGTTATTATACGTATAAAATAATGTGTTTGTACCTAAATGTTATGTATATATTTTTTAGTTGGAAAATCATTGAATGACTGCTCCCGCCTGGGTGAGGCGGGAGGGAGTGTCAGACTCTTACTGACAAAAACCATCCCGTTCCTTTTCCTGCGCTTTGAGCCGGAGCCCTGGCAACCCGTTAGGTTCTTCGCGGCTCCGTATCGTCATCTGCCCTATTGGGCTCCATCCGTGGAGATCTGATGGCTCTTTGAGGCGAGCGCGGTACGCGACGCGCCGTACACTCGGGTCTGGTTCTGGTTGGGCGGCGAGCCACCCATGCTCGCCGTCCGCAGACCCACGCTCTGTATGCAGACATTCTTCATCAGAGAGCCAATCAATAGTATCGTCACTATAAAAAAATACAATTATGAAAAACTTTACTACGGAACCCTTCCACACCTACGTCACTATTATGGAAGGTACTTTAAATGGTTCAAGTCCATGCCCTACCCATGTTTAATTACGTATACAAAAAATAACATAATTAAATAATTACACTTTGCCAATTTAATTAGTTAGTTAAAAGAAACCAATAAAAAGTATTTAGTAATTAAATCAACGAAGGGCCGAAGTTAATGCCTCAATCTAGTATAAAATTGAATAAAAACATCTTGATTAATAGTTACCTACGCTTGCGTCCCCTTGATTACAATTTTACTTATTAATATATCTTTTCTTTTTTAAACTTTGCCTCACACTAGGATTATCTCCTGTGTCGTGGGTGCATTTACAAACATACAAGTTCACATATACATGACACCCAGACCCGGCACAACAATTTGTGGATCACACAAAGTGTTGTTCCGTGCGGGAATCGAACCTGCGACACGTTACACGGCAGCCGGTTGCCCAGTCACCGCACGAACCGTGCAGTCGCTGCGATATCGCGGGTCATAAGTAAATAGCTGACAGACTAACAATAGAGTCTTGGTATCGACCCGTTTTACAGGAAGTATGTACCCAGTGACGAGATGTTTATACGACATCAGAAGAGCCAATAAATTAATCGCCAATTTATAATTAAATACGCAAATAATTAAACTTGTCTTCAAGGCAAACTGGTATAGTTATTTTAATTAATTACCTGAATATGAGATCAGAACATCTGTTACAAATTTTACGCTATATTAGAATTATTGCGAAAACAAAGACTATATGTATAGACGTTTGCATTGACTGCATCGTTGGCCGAGTGGTCGCAAGTGCGACTGCCGCACAAGGGGTCTCGGGTTCGATTCCCGGGTCGGGCAAAGTATTACTGGGCTTAAATTAATGTATTTTTACCCTCGAACTATAATAATGGAATCATTACAATGATTTCATATGTATAACATTATTAAGTTATCATAATATCAAGCATACATTACCTATTATTGTTTTAAAATACTTAAAAAGGCTTACACAGCCTGTAAAAGTGTTGTTATTTGAAGACGGAATTGTGACTTAGTATAGTAAGTTTTTCAATTTGTGTACACCTACTTATTTTAATAAAGAATTTTATAAAACAAACAAACTGGGCTTAAAAAAAATCTCAGTAGTAGCACGGAGGCTGGAATTGGGCCCGGTATATGGCAATAGGCTCACCCCCTATAACATGGGACTCAAAACATAAATAATGAAAAGTGGGTGTTAAGTAATACATTGTACAGTGGTATTAAGTGCCGTAATGTGCACGTCTGCCTACTCCTACGAGGATAAAAGGCGTGATGTTATGTTATATTATGCTTAAATTGATTTTCTAAGAAATCTTTAGGAAGTCGCGGAGGCCTTAACAGGTCACTGGGGATCCGGCTCGAAGTGCAGGAGTAGGGACGGGGTGTTTTCAGTCAGTAAGGGTCTGACACTCCATCTCGCCTCATCCGGGCGGGAGAGGTCATTGAATGAAATGTTTTTCATTTAATAAAAACAAAATAAAAAAAGTATCTTCTGTATTTATAAAGCCTTGCCCTGCACTAAGATTTTTCCTTTATCGTGGGTCATTTCAAGCACATTATTTCACATATACTTTACACCCAGACCCGTGACAACAAATGGTGGACCACGCAAACAATTGATATTTTTGGGAATCAAAATGGCAACACTTACTTCAGCCGAACGCGTGGCCATATCGAATCGAACAGTCAAAAGACTGTCATCATTAGTCCAACATAACAACAATATGAAGTCATCCTAAAGTTGTAGTACCTATTTGCCATATTTAAAAAAAAACAGCAAGTTCTTTCCCCAACTTCGTCACACACCGGACGGACTTCCTTCGAATCGTTATTCATACATTAGTATCTAGTCTTATAGATTATAAATACAAAAAAAAATAGTACTCTTCGAATCGATTGACTTGGCACCTGATTTCTTCGTCCTTAACAATAACCAAAATCTTCCAAGACGTATAATTTTAAACTAAATACGAGCTAAGTGCGACACACTACTACAAACCCAAGCGTTCATTAACCACTGGTTATCCACTCAACAATAAATGTTTTACGACATATATAAACGAGAGGACCGCACAGTTCCATAGTATCGGCCGAGGCGTGAACACAACGACAGAGTGCCGAATGTCCACAAGATATGGAAAAACTAGCCGCTTTCATTGTCTTGAGTCTCCTTATCGCAGACGCAAGAATCATCCCAGATAACTACAGCCAAGAAAGAAGAGCACTACTAGATGAAGAGACACTTACAGCGGTCGGTGGAAAACAACACCTCAATGAAGATGAAACGATAGCTAACGATATACTAATGAAATGGAAGATGAACGAACTCAACGAGTCCTACATAAACCCACAACATTTCAACTTTTCTAAACACTACTTTTCATATAAGAAAGACATAGAAAAATCTAAAGTGTATCAAATTATAAAACGGATGCCCAAAGGTGCAGTGCTTCACGTGCATAGCTCTCTAATGCTAAGTGCTAACGTTTTAGTGAAATTGACGTATGAAGATCATCTGTACGCGTGCTACTCACATGACGATCTGCGATTATATTTCTCGGAGACGACCCCAGACCGACCTTGTCCGTCTAAGTGGGATCTTGTTAGCGAACTCAGGAATTCTTCCGGTGATCCCGCGGCCTTTGATTCACAATTGAAGAAATATTTCACACTTGATAAAGATGACGGCGAAGATTATAATTTTGTGGACATTAACACAGTCTGGAAGAGATTCGATAAAGTGTACTTTGCTATTAAATCGTTAATTTCGTACCGACCCGTGCGGGAAAAGTATTGGTATGAAACGTTACAACAGTTTTATGATGATAACATTATGTATATCGAAATTCGTTCCGGTCTACAGAGTTTATACGAATTAGATGGCACAACACATAGTAGAAAATATTTACTTGATCTCTACAAGAGAGTGACAGAAAAATTCATTGAGACACATCCAGATTTCATCGGCGTTAAACTGATAATAACAAAACACAGAGCTCAAAGTATCGACCAAGTGCTGGAAGCTTTGAATATGGCGAGAAGATTAAAAGTTGAGGAGCCAGATATGATAGCAGGATTCGACCTTGTAGGTCAAGAAGACATTGGCAGACCACTGACAGATTTTCTGCCAGCATTGTCTGAAGCAAAAGGCGATATAAATTTCTATCTACACGCTGGAGAGACAGCTTGGCTAGGAACTTCTGCTGACGAGAACCTGGTGGACGCAATTCTTCTAGGTTCAAAGAGGATAGGTCACGGGTACGCTTTAATGAAGCACCCGTCACTAATGTCAGCTGTGATGAAGAAGGACATTGCTTTGGAAGTGAATGTGATCTCGAACGTGGTGTTGTCGTTAGTGCACGATGTTCGGAACCACCCCTTGGCCTCGTACCTGGCTATGGGTGCGCCTGTAGTGCTGTCCAGCGACGACCCTGGCGCTTGGAGCGCGGAGCCAGTGTCTCATGACTTCTTCGTGGCGTTCATGGGTGTGGCCAGTAAGCACGCGGACCTGAGGATGTTGAAGCAGCTCGCTCTCAACTCGATCACGTACAGTGCGCTAGACGATGAAGGTAAATCGAGACTTCTGAAAGTGTTCAACGAAAGGTGGAATAGATTTGTAAGAGATGTTATAACTGACGTGTCGTTGATAGATACTAATGTGATTTAGGCACTTTTTGATTAGAAATCTTTTAGAATACAATTCCGCCTTAAATACGCTGGCGTATAATGTAACCGTGACCTGTCAGTAATAAACTCAGTACAAATGTTTACAGTAAGTAGGAACTAAGAAGTGAGATTATATAATGTCTGTATTAACTATATATTTTCATATAATCGTTTATAAGGAAGGAATTATCTATATTTATATCTCAGTGAATGCAATAATGATCTATACGCGTACCATCTAGGGCTCAAAGTCCTGTTGCTCTCTGAATATAATTTTTATCTTTTAGACAATATCTCTTTTAATGATATCTTTACACGTAGGGCTTAATAGAATGTCTGTGTCCGTAATACTGTGTATTACGAATTACTTTCTTAGTGTTATACGTTATAAGGTTGATTTTGCAATGTTTCAAAGACCCTTTTTTGTTATATTATCTTTGTCTGTTGCACATCTTTACCTTCCAAGTCATATGTTATTATGTAGTTGCAGTATAATAATTATAATTATTTATTTATGTATGCAGCGTTTTACATGCACTTTATAATACTATATTTGGTACATCGAAAGGTTACACCCAATATAGCACAAAGTCTTATAAAGATTTTCGGATCAAAATGAAGTATATACTCCAAAAATGTATACCAAATTGGTACCATAATATTAATGTATGTTTCTTAAAAAAAAACGTGTCAATAGTTCACTGACGCACAATCAGATAGTTCGTTGACATTAATCAGCTAATTTGATGCTTGTTTTTTTTAATTTCATTCAGTCGGTTTCTAGTTTTAATGGTTTTTTTTATGTTTTTACTACTACGTGATATACTTGTTGTTCGAGTAGTCACGTGTACACTTAGGTAATATACGGTATCGGATTTGATACTCGGCTCACGTAAAGATTTGTTAAGTAATATCTTTTACCTGCGGCTTTGCCCGCATATTTCGTTTTATCCCATGGGAGCATTTAATTGGGATAAAAAGTTCCCTATCACCTAAGTCCGCCCATACCCTTCCTGTGTACCAAATTTCATCGCGAGATTGACGGACAAACATCGAAACAAAGAAACTTTCAACTTTCAACAGCACGATTATTTTCAAAATTCTTATGATATTACAGATAATGACGAAAACCGCGAAATTTGCTTTTCGCGACGTAAAAATCAATCCTTCAGGTCTACTGTGCACGACGCGTCAATTGAAGAATGCATGCTTTCGTCAAAATGATAGACGGATTTGTCGTTTCCGCGTAGTCAGTTTTCATTGTATCAGAGCAAGATGCAAGCATTTGTCTTATTTTGTAGGCCTATCGTCGTTTGTAGGTTGCATGCATTCGTCACATGACACGTCGCCCACAGTAGCCCTAATTAAATTGTTATGTTTTCGGCTTACTCACGTAGTTATTCGACGAGGAACTCGACTAGTTTCACGCTAGCTAGCAGTAGCAGCAATAGCAGTAGCAGCGCGACAGTCGCCGCGTCGCGGGTCGCGAAGTGCTGCTCATGAATATGAGCCTCTAGCATGGCTTGAAACTAGTCGAGTTCCTCGTCGAATTACTACGTGAGTAAGCCGAAAACATAATAATTTATTTAGTATGTCTCACGAAAGTTACAATACAAAAGTAGCCCTAATATTTAATATACATATATTTTGTAGGTATGAGGTACCTACATTGAATTTATTTTAAGCTTTATCCAATTGACACGTGTAATCGAGTCGCTACGTAAGTAATCTTTAACATAAAGTTTAAAGATATTGTAAATGTAAATTAACATTAATGTAATTTATGCAACAGTTAATGAGGTTGTAATCAGTTAAGTTTTTGTATGTATTTGATTAATTAATCTGTGATTGTTAATTAAATAAGTTAAAACATTGGTTTATATTCTTTATTTTTTACTACGAGCGGCGTTGCCCACTTTCCTGTAGATTAAAAAGTAGCCTATAATATGGGCTACTAAAAATAACATAGTTATATTATTAGGTATGTTAAAGTCAAAGTCAAAGTCAAAGCATTTATTTCAATTAAACCATAATTTGATACTTTTGAAACGTCAACAAATACAAAATAAATAATAGTCTGTCAGTCAGTCCGTCAGTGAAGCTAGGTGAAACTAGGTGCTCATTCCAAAATGTAGATTTGAATGCAGAAGAACAAGCAAGAAACTACATTCATTACTATTTTAAAAAAGTATCTTCTACAATGTCTCTGATACATATTGACTGATGACTCTGATCTGATACATACTGTTATTTGTTTTTCTTTTTTTAAGGTTTAAATATTTTAGTTTGTAGTTATTTATATATATTTATTCATACTTATGTTATTTATAATTATACAAGGTGTTGTTAGTACCTATACAAGGTGTTGTTTTAAAGCCGCGTCATGTTCTAGTAGGAGGTAACTCGGCTATCGATTCTAAGTCCGAATCAATAAAAAAATTGTAGGCAAATAATTTTCATTTTTCTGTAAATTACGGAAATCCGTAAGTGCGTACTACACGGCGCCGTCTTGTTACTAGCTTTATAATGCGGCTTAACACACACAAACTCAAACACTTAATTGATATTATTCCTAATTCCATTAAACTCCAATAAGAACCATTGCTGTCGCCTATTCTGAAACACTGTCGAACTTAAACGATTTATTATAGCCGTATTTTTAACTATTGACCCGAAACTTTTACTTACATTGAACCTTTATGCTTTCTGTGACATGCCCCCGAAAAATGACACGGTTTTAAAACTACACCTTGTATAGAGATAGAAATACCCCTGTTCCGCATTTCATCCCAATCCCTTCCGCCATTTTGACGTGGTTGAGGAACAAACACAGAAACAAACAAACAAACAAACTTTAGCATTTGTAATATTAGTTGGATTTATCTACATATATTAATTCAGGCTTAAAAATTTTAAAAGTACCCTTAACCGACGAGCATGCATGAAAAGATTGATGACTGTTAATGAAGCGAAAGAGGTATGTAAGAATCGTAGTCATTGGCGTTCCATAGTCTCTGCCTACCCCCATGGGAGACAGGCGTGAAGTTATGTATGTATGTATGTATGTATTTCAGGCTTTATGTCATAATAAATCGATTTCATTCTACGATTTTTTATATATTAAACCTTTCTTAAGACATACTGAATTAATTGTTATGTTTTCGGCTTACTCAGTAGCAGCGCGACAGTTGCCGCGTCGCGGCTCGCGGAATGCTGCTCATGAATATGAGCCTCTAGCATGGCTTGAAACTAGTCGAGTTCCTCGTTAAATAATTAAGTGAGTAAGTCGAAAACATGATTTTTTTGGGTTATAACCTTCTTGAGACATACTAAAATAATTACCTATTATGTTTATCGGCTTACTCACGTAATTATCTTTATATATATAATTCTTCTGTGAGTGTGTATGTCACTGAACTTCTCTCAAACGACTGGACCGATTTTGATGAAATTATTTGTGTGTGTTCAAGGGGATCTGGGAATGGTTTAGATTCACAAATCAGCCCGGCAGATGGCGCTGCAGTGGATTTCAAGGTTATTTATCTATACCTATTATTACAGGACAATATCTGTCGGGTCCGCTAGTTATTCTTATATAGGTGTAGATACTAGTCGAGTCGTTAAAAAAATTACGTCAGTAAGCCGAAAAACATAATTATTAACGATTTTTTTTTACTTTTGCAATAAAATTTAAAAAATGAGATAAGGAGAATATTTCTAAGATAAATACCGTTAGTATCTGACCTAAGTCAACTGTTTTCATTAGAAATGTATAGTTTATAAAAACATGTTTAGCTATTAGTCTAGATTCTTGATTCACAAAGTGATGTAACTATGATAAATGTTATGTCAATAATGTTTATTATAAGATGGAATAGGTATTTGATAGGGGCTTTGTTTTACGTGTAAGTAATCGAACCTGAGATGTAGGCCACTTGTTTCAAACTCATGATTTCTGAATAGGGGATAACCTTAGTGGTACACCTGGCACATTTCCAAACTCCGTCCTAATGAGAACCGAAAAAAGAAAAATCCTTTTTAGAAAAAATCCTAATAATAACCTTTTTGGGGATTCAGGGACTGGAGAGATTGGGTTGGGGGGGGGGGGGCTTTAATTAGGCCTCTAGCAACCTCACGACGAAACACAACACAAGCGTTGCTTCACGTCTGTTTTCTGTGAGGCCGTGGTATCACTCCGGTCGAGCCGGCCCATTCGTGCCGAAGCATGGCTCTCCTATACATGAAGTTATTATAAAAGATTTTATCTGTAATGATTATGTATTATGTTAAGCAGTTAGTGACTTTCGAACTAAAATACAACATTGATACGCTCGCAACTACATAATTCCATGTTCGTTTGCCCGACCAAGACGTTGAACTCTACTCTTTACCTTCAACAATTTAACATGTGCAAGGTTTTAAAAACGTTTATAACAGTGGCACAATACAGCAGCAACAAAAAAAAACTATTAAACTGTCAAACACCAAGCGGTCACCGGTGACCGCGACCCATTGTTCTTTAATTGTGTCTATAAAACCGGTACTCGACGAGTTAAACAGTGTCATAGAAAATTCTACACTAAGTACATGTAACAATTTTCTAGAATCTTCTAAAGTGAAAATTGACATAACAAGGCGTACAAACTAACAGACAATTGTTACAAAATTGTACGTGATTTTATTATAGAAGTTAATTCAATTCATTCTCTAAACGATACTATTTCATTCTTGTTTAGCTTAACAAAAAGTAGGACATTTTTTTTTTAAGTGAGCACCCATATTGGAAGAAATATTAGGGGAATGTTCTCGAAGATTGTTTTGGTTCACTAATTATAGGTGTAACCGCAAAACTGTGGAACGATCTGTCGTCGGCGTTATTTCCGAACTGATACGACCTTCAAACCTTCAAGAAAAGAGAGTATCCCTTTTTAAAAGTCCGGCAACGCACCTTTGACTCCTCTGGTGTTTCCAGTACCATAAGGGCACACGGGGTTTGTGCCT